TATTTTTCAAAACCTGGCATGGTTCAGTGGTAGAGCATCAACCTGTAAACCAGAAGGTCATGGTTCAATTCCTGGTCAGGGCACATGCCTGGGTTGCAGGCTCAATCCCCAGTGTGGGGCATGCAGGAGGCAGCCAATCAATGATTCTTTCTCTCTCATCATTAACATTTCTATCCCTCTCTCTAAAATAAAAAATATATTAAAAATAAATAAGTAAATAAATGAACAAAATTTTCAAAACCCACCTAGTAATTACTCCAAACATCAGGTCATTGCCATCACTTAAGGGAGAATAACAGCCAGCTAAGGGAAGTCATTTCTTCCAGCTCCTAAAGATTAGAATTCTGTGTCTATTTTCTCAGCCTAAGACTTGTTGGAAATCTTGAATAAAAAGAAAAGTCTTTATTCTCTATCTAATCACAAAATGTGACTCACACACATTTGATAAAATCTCAGAGCAGGTATTTCTTTACTAATAAAATAAGAAAAAAATACATTTCTCCTTGGCAAATACTAAGCTCAGATTTTTCAATTTTCAGTCAGTTGCAAGACTTACCCACTATATAAATTTAATGGCTATGATATGTCAAGAAGATTTATGTCAAAGATAAATGTGAATTAAAAGTTTGTTAATATAGCCCTGGCCGGTGTTCTCAGTGGTTAGAGCATTGCTTGGATATTCTATGTGTACATATCCGATATTATGTACCAGATGAATGAAGTCTTTTTTAATTCTACTTTTTAAAGCTAAAACTCTCCGTGTCAGTGATGTTTCCAACTATTTTCCACTGACTTTCCAGACAAAACCAAAGCTATGATCTTGTCATCATTCCATCTTTCCCTTAGCATGCAATCTTTTGGTTTCTCTTACCTGGTCCTTCTTTTGAGGGAATGTTATGAGTAAAGAATGCTGTGAAGAACCCCCTAATTAATGGAAAAGCAGAAGAAACCAGTTATGAGAACTAACATTAAAAGATTTTGCATGGAATTTTTTAAAAAAACATCTCTGAGGAAAAACTCAGAATATCTGAGTATCAGGGTAAATGTCAGTATTTCTCAAATGTTTTCAGTTCATTAAAATCAATCTAGTTTTTTTGAACTTCCGTCTCCTGTCTCCAAACCCACTTATCTTTCACTAAACCATGTTCCTTCACTCAGTCCTCAAAAAATTCCAAGGTATTTGAGATCTATACTTTCTTGATACCATTCCCTACTACAAGCAAGCTTTTTATATGAACATGTGTTATTGACATAAATTCATACTATTCTCTCAATATTACCTTCATCCCCAATTCCTGGAAAGTGAGGGTCCACCATATCAAGATACATCAAGCTTATAGACCTATATACCTTATATGTAAATATATTAATAAAAAACAATGTTCTGCTTTGTTCTGAAGTTATTATTTCATCTTGAATATAAAATTATTTGACTCAGGCTTGGCCAGCAAGGCTCAGTGGTTAAGTGTCAACCTATGAACCAGGAGGTCACAGTTTTATTCATTGCGGGCTCCATCCCCAGTGTGGGGCATGCAGGAGGCAGCAGATCAATGATTCTCTCTCATCATTGATGTTTCTAGCTCTCTCTCTCTCGCCCTCCCTTACTCTCTGAAATCAATAAAAAAAATTTTTTAAAAATTATTTGACTCAGGAAGTGGTTCTTGTTCTGTGTCCTCCATAGTCCTGAGTCTTGCACTGAGAACTAGTTTCTCTTGCTGATGCTTTCTGACAAATTCCATGCTCTGTCCTTAGAACTCACCACTCTTCTAGCTAGAAAATAATACATTTTAACATCTTTTTTATAGCTCATTTCCCCTACTTAATTTTAATTGCTTACTTTTGCTGAATTCGTGGAACAGAGCACATGAGTTTGAAAAGATCACTAGATGTGGCCCCTACACCTTGTGAATCACTAAGTCTACCCAGTTCTTAAACATCTGAAGGACATGGGATGGGGTTCTGTTACAGGATTGCTGTCCAGAAGAATACGGAATAAAGACTGTCATGAGCAGGCCATGCCGAGGAAAGATTTTGCCAGAAGCTGAAAGAACACCTACTGCCGGATAGATACTAACAACACAGAGAAGATTTCCATGACTCCACACGACCTGGACCTGACCTCTGACCTTACCCCCTACCACTCTCGGCACAGCCAACAGGGGAGACAGGAAGGAACGGACCGGACCGGAGAAGGCTGAACGGGGCAGGCAGTAAAAGGCACGGCGCTCAAGGTTTCCACTCGAACCTGAAGGAGATGGGGAACCGGCACGGGTCTATCCACAGCGCAGCGACACGGCCACGGCTAGGTTCTAATCTAGACCTAGAGGGTGCACTCTGAATACAAGTGGGAACTGGAAGGGAAGCGGGGCGCCAAGGAAGCAAGAAGACTACTGACGAGAGGACGCCCAGGGTGGATGGGGCTGCCTGACGTGTCTGGGAAAAGGAAGAACTTGCCAACGGATCCGGAGTAATGGCAATAAGGCCCATGAGCTCAGCGTGGCGCAGGGTAACCCTACAGGGACTGTCCAGTGGAGCCTGGGGTCAGGGAGGGAGGAGGAAGGTGGGGCCTGGAAGAGGAGGAAGAGAAAAGCAAGAGTCGAGGTCTCCCGGCGAGAGCCCGTCAAAGCTTCTCAGCGCCCGGCCAAACCTCCGAGACCTCCCTCCAGCCCGCCGCCCGCCCACTGACCGAACGAGTTGAGAAAGTCCGCGATTTTCTTGATGCTGCTGGTGATGATTTCAATGTACTCCCGGTTCGCCCAGTCCTGGTGAATTTCCCGCTGCACAGGATCCTCTTGTCCCGCCATGGCCGCCGCCTAAGGAAGTGCGACTGCGCAGGCGCCCCGATCCTCCAGGACGCCCGTGCGCCTGCGCCGCCAGCCCACACCCTCCCTCGGCACCCACGTATCAGCTGGCATCGTGGTGCGCCTGCGCGACGTGACGTCCTCGCCGGCGTTGGCTCTGCTCAACTCCGACCGGGAAAAGGGGTGGGTAGGCGCCAGGAGCCCCCCACCCACCGCAATACCGGGTCGCTGGCGGTTGGCGGGAGCGTGGGCCCGCGTCACCCTCCCACTCCGTCAGCTGCTCCAGACTTAGGTTATGGTCTGTGTCAGCAATAAGTTGGGCATAACCGATTAAATCACATCAAGCCCAAGTTATTTTCAAAATGCTTTTCAACAACACAATATGATGTTCCACCTTACATTTATCAAATGAACAAAATGTTTATGTATATATTTCACAATAATACCCAGCGAGGGGAAATTTGTAAATTAATGACAAGATCAAGCGCAGGTGAGTTCAGGGTGGTATGCAGGAGGCAACCAGTCAATGTGTTTTTCTCACATCAATGTTTCTCTCTCTCCCTCCTCCCCTCCCTTCCTCTCTTCCACTCTCTGAAAAACAATGGAAAACGATATCCTGCCCAGCCAGTGTGGCTCAGTGGTTGAGCATCAACCTATGGACCAAGAGGTCTCGGTTTGATTCCCAGTCAGGGCACATGCCCGGATTGGGAGCTCAATCCTCAGTGTGGGGCGTGCAGGAGGCTGCCAATCAATGATTCTCTCTTATCATTGATGTTTCTATTTCTCTGTCCTTCTCCCGTCTCTGAAATCAATAAAAATATATTTTAAAAAAACAACTGTGCATGCCCTGACTGGTTTGGCTCAGTGGATAGAGCGTAGGCCTGTGGACTGAAGGGTCCCAGGTTCGATTCCCGTCAAGGGCATGTACCTTGGTTGCAGGCACATCTCCAATAGGGGGCGTGCAGGAGGCAGCTGATCAATGTTTCTCTCTCATCGATGTTTCTAACTATCCCTCTCCCTTCCTCTCTGTAAAAAATCAATAAAATATATTTAAAAAAATAAAACAAGAAAACCTGTGCAATAAAAACTATTTTATTTGCTTTTAAAATAACAAGAGGAAAATTAAAAACTTACTGAAAAAAAGTTTGTAATTCAAAATCATTTTTGTCTCTTCCAAGAGTCGTCATTCTCTGCCCATCTCTGCAGTTTGACGACTCCTCCAATCTCCACTTAGCTCTCCTTCTACAGGGACACACACACACACACACTCACACACACACAGCATCTGACAGTTCTTGACAAGCTTCTTAAGACTATCTTGACTTCCAAACCAGAATCTCAGCCTGACCCCTCCCCTAGTCCCCAGTCTCCGCACTTCAGCTTCACCCAAAGAGCCAGACGAAAGGTGACAGCTCTAATTTGTGTTATATAGTTCCCAAAGTGCAAGGCCAACGTCTGGGTGTTTAAGGGAAGGGCAGGTGGGCCGTTAGTTAATTCCTCCCCAAGTACCTCCTGCCTGCCAGGCAGTGCGGTAGCCAGGCATCAGGATATAGGAGTCAACTGGGTAGATCTGTCTTCCCTCAGCGGTCCAGGTAATTGAGTGATGCTGTCAAAGTTGTCAGATCACTCATACTATGCTGAAAGATTCCGTTTTTCAGCTTGGTGAGGATGGGACAGCATCGTCTTTCTGAGGTTTAATAGATTTTTCAGTCAGGAAGTCAAGGGAAGAAGACATGCATCTTTTTTCCTGTTCTAGATAGGCGTGCATTTATACTAGTACATTCTGTCTCCTTGCACGGGGATCATTCCAATGCAGCAACAAAAGCCTTCAGAAGTCTGGGTAACTCTGCCTGAACACCTACTGAGCAGGTTTAATAAAGACTTTTAAACTAACGATCGGTCCCGGAATTTTGAAGCACGTTCCTGACCACACCCCTTGAAGTGGGCAGGCCCCTGCTCTGCAACTAGATCAAAGGCACATCGATGTAGCGCAGCAGGGAGGTGCTGGAGGAAGCGGGATTCGAACCTGCACTTCTGGACCTGGCATTCCAAGGAGGTGGCGGTGGGGAGTCCAGCCCAGACGGCCCCGCCCCCCTACTTCCCCAACCCCTTGCGCCGCTCGGGTCTTTACACCCCCCTCCCCCCGCCCCCAGGGTCCTGGGTCACAAAGGCGGTTGCCAGGCGCCTGGTGGAGAAAAGATGCGGCGGGGACCAGCAGCTTCCACTCTGGAGCGTATGGCCGTGGAGTTCAGCAGGTGAGCTCCCAGCCCGGATGGTGGGACTGGGCCTGGGCTCCCACCGCCACCTCCACCTCCTCAGCCAGAGCCCTCTGGCCCCGGCCCGGCCCGGGGTAGGGGACTCCCAGGGAACAAGCCTGTTTTCCGGCTGGGACGGGAAGCTTCCCCCACAACAGGCAGCTTCAGCCCCTTGGATTGCAGTTTACAAGGACCTCAGCGACTCTTTGACGTTGCCTTCTCTTTCCCAGGTGGGGACATTGGGGGGCCCGGTTCCTTGGAACTGGAGGACTAGTATGAAGGGGAACCCTTTTTGGCCAGAACACGGTTTCCCATTGGGGAGTTATTAGAGCAGTTTGAATAGACTTCCTAGGTTCAATCCCCCTTGGAGAGGATGACAGTGAGTTCTGGGTGGTAGGAGGGGGGATGAGGTGAAGGGAGTGTGAACCATCTTTATGTAAACTTGCCTGAAAGTGGTGGAAAGACCTGGGGTGAGAAGCCCTTCTCATCCCATGCCGGTTCTGCTGAATACTTAGGCTGGACATTTGACAAAGCCCTTTTTTTTTTTTTTTTTAACACCTCTAGCCTCTTTTGTTAAAGGTGAGTCAGGAAAAGGATACTTATTTTGGTCACCACCTTGCCATGGTTGTGTACCAGAGTGGCACTGATCCTGGTTGTATGCTCTCAGGGTCATGATCTCAAGCATCAGACGCCTTTGGTAGGCTGTTTGGAATAGATAAGTACCCCTGGGGTGTCAGTTTCTCATCCTAAAGCAGCCCAGACATTTGAACACAGTATGCAAAAAGGCCAGCATAGTTCAGGAGACACCAGTTGGAGGAAATCAACAAATCTCTATACTAACCACTGTTAGAGCAGGTCTTCTGGCTTGAAATGTTACCAATTCCTTTTAAAAAATGAACTTTACTGTCTCATAAAGGATGGTGGAGGTGTTAATTTGTCACACCATTACTGGATGGAATCAAATCTGCTGCTGTTTCCTTTTGGAGAAAAGAGAAGGGACAGAGAAATACACTTGGCTAAAAAGAAAAGGGCCCTAACCGGTTTGGCTCAGTGGATAGAGCGTCAGCCTGTGGACTGAAAGGTCCCAGGTTCAATTCCGGCCAAGGGCGGGAGGTGTGCAGGAGGCAGCTGATCAATGTTTCTCTCTCATTGATGTTTCTAACTCTCTCCCTTCCTCTTTGTAAAAAATCAATGAAATATATTTTTAAAAAATAAAAATAAATAAATAAAAGAAAAGGGATCTGTTATGTCCCTTAACATAATAGTGCATGCTCAATAAATGTTAGCGTCTCTTGAATTCAGAAAAACCTTTATTTTTTATTTTTTTTAGAAAACACATCTATTGATTTTTTACAGAGAGGCAGAGAGAGGGATAGAGAGTTAGAAACATCAACAAGAGAGAAACATCGACTCAGCTGCCTCCTGCACACTACCTACTGGGGATGTGCCTGCAACCAAGGCACATGCCCTTGACCGGAATCGAACCCGGGACCCTTCAGTCCGCAGGCCGACGCTCCATCCACTGAGCCAGACTTGTTAGGGCAGGAAAACCCTTTATATACTGACAATTTTAAGGTAGATTGAAGGAAAATCCAAGTTCTACTTGAGTACATTTTTGAGTTAGCAACATCCTCCCAGACCTTTATCTTCAAAAGGAACAGAAAAATAAAGTTCTTAGCGAGTGGGTCTCCCGTAGGTAAGAAAACAAAAACAAAACACATCTAGAACCAGAAAAATCTTTAGAAATATTTAGACTGGCCTTTGGAAACTATTTTCCTACCAGCCTGGTATACTTCCTCTGAGATGGCATAAGTAGCTCAGGGTTCTGAAAGAACAGCTCCCTTATGTCAGAAAACAGGTTTTTAGGGCCAAGAGACTGTCTTGCTAATTAAAAATAGTGAAAGCATAAGTTCCTTAAGAGGAGCAGTATATGTTCTCAAACTATAAGTACATCAGAATCCCCAGAGGGTTTACTTAAGCACAGATTGCAGGGCCCTACCCCCAGAGTTTCTGAGTTTGAAAGGTGCTAGTCCCGGGATCATATTTTGAGAACCATTGGTATAAGTACATGGGATTCAGAGTCCCACATATTGGGTAAGATGGGGCCTTTCTGAGCTTCTAATCACAATTAATGTCTCATCTTGAAGCGCCAGCAGCCTCTGCAACCTCAGAGGTGTCTTTAGCAGTTATCAACAGCACAGATCCTAATGGTGAACTGGGATACTCCATTTAGGGCAAATCTACAGGGGTGGGCAAAAGTTGGTTTACAGTGTGAATACACAAGTTTATTCTTGTATTACTTATTAACTATTGTATATTTATTATTATTGCCCACCTCTGTATTCCTCATCTGTAAAATGGGTTAAAATCTACCTTCAAAGACTTGTGATAGGTTTAATAAAGTTTTAGTACACATGGCACTTGATAGATTCAAGACTTGTTACCATCCCTTACTACTCTTTAGAGATACTAGTACCCTAACATCTATTGGACTGTTTATGGGGACTAGAGTAAGTTAAAGTCAGTGTGAAAAATGTGAATTTGAATGGCCATGCCCTCACCAAAACCATGCTAGGGAAATTCCATGTTCTGATTCCTTTCCTTTAGACTATCAATGGCAGGATACCAGCTCTGGTCACCATGGACCCCTCTGGATGAGAGCTTCCAATGGCTGCGGCACACAACACCTACACCTTCTTCCAAGCACCCCTTTAGGGCTTCCCCCTGCTTCCCACACACCCCTTCTGACCTTGAAGTGCAGCTGTGCTTTCAAGAGGTCACTCTAGTCCTAGATAGCCCATTCCTGGAACCTGGGGTGAGTCCCAAGTTACCCTGCCACACATCAGAGCTCCGAACCATAAACAACAAGAAAGGACTGGTCAGGAAGCCCCAGCCTGTCCGCCTCAGTGGAGTGGATTCGGTCTTTGGCAGGGTCATCACGGCTCAGCCTCCAAAGTGGACTGGGACCTTCAGAGTTTCAGACAAGTCAGCCTTTTGCAAAATCATCAGCCGGGAGCACCAGTGGCCCACTGGACTTAAGGAACCTCAGATTCAGATGACAGTGACCATGTGCAAACAGATGCTGCGCTCTATTCTCTTGCTGTATGCAACATACAAGAAGTGTACCTTTGCCTTGCAACACTCCAAGTAAAGGGCCCCCCACCTGATTCCTGTTCCTCACACCATTCCCTTTGCTATGTGCCTGAAGCTTGCAGAAACCTGTCCATGTAAAGGAAACTGACATTGCCCCAACCATCTTGCTTTTCTGTAAAGCAGTGAAAATTCAGGAGACTCTTTCCTCCCTTCCCGTCCAAAAAAGGGCCAGTGACAGAGCAAGGAAGAACAATTTCCATTGAAATGTTGAACAACCATTTAAAAGAGAGTCAAATTAGCATTGACATGTACATGTGATAAAGAACCATTAAACAAACCATATAAATAAGCCTAGTGTGAACTCACTTAAAACATCCATAATGAACTGGGGAAACAAAGGTGTGTCAAGGAAAGAGACGTCAATTTCGATATACCTGAGGATGAAGGGGTCAAAAATCTATATGTGGGTTAAGGATTAATTTTAAAAACAAAACACAAAAATTTTCTCTACTTGAAAAACAAACATCTAAACAGCCACTTCCTAATACCACTAGAGAATACCAAAGTGGGTAGAAATATTAACAAATATTATAAGAAAGTACCAAAAAATGTTAACAAGTATTAAACAATATTTGTAGCTCAGCAAGAACTTGGTAGCAGCACTGAAACTGGGCTTTCTGACCAAAGATGTGAGACTTTCCATCTTAGCTCAAGTGTACTCCTAATGTTCTATTTCTAAGAAACTATAAGTAATTTTGTACATAGTTATAACTTGATTATAGGTATAACTCAGAATAATGTGGAAATAACCATTACATATACAAATTCAACATGAGAGTTTGATGGTGCCTTTTCCCCCTTTGTCTTACATCTACACGATGACCAAACAGTTTTTTAAAGCAGCCAAAATATTCATTTTTAACCTTATTTGGGCATTGACAAGAAATTTATCACTCCTCTAAAAAGAACACAAAGATCTTCTTATCGCAAAGAAAGATAATTCTTACAATAGAAAACATGATTTACACTGGTAGAACTAATGTTGGCACCGGTCTTCATTATTTTTCTGCTGAAAACCCAATTCAATTTCATCTAATCCCTAAGTAAAGGAAATCCAGAAAGAGGAAAGAAGTAGCTGAAGCAAAACTTAAAACAATTTATTTGTAAAACTGGTACAAACATAAATTATAAAATAAATTCAAAACTAGCTCCTAAAGTCCAGAATCATGACTACTCCGCAGTACAGCACTGAATGCTACACTGGAATCCTGAGCCAGGGCTTAAAACAATTTATTTGTAAAACTGGTATAAACATCAATAAAGTCCCCACTTTAAGGACAAAATAGGATGCTTCTAGTGAGAAAGGTAGACAGATTTCAAATCCTGAACACAAAATGCTAAGAGGCTGGCAGAGATAAGGAGGAGGCATCCAACTTTCTGTGGTCTAATCAGTGTCTTCGTCGTCACTCTCATCACTATTTTGCTCCTTTTCTCTATCACTTGCTTCATCTTCTTCACCATCCTAAGGGCAAAGGAAAATTAAATACTTTAGGTCATCTGAGTGAGCCTGTATAATACTGCTCTCACAGGACTTAAAACTATACTGTATCAATGTTACCAAAATTAGTAAGTTTTAAATCATTCATCTGAAAAATGAGTTTTTTATCATGACCTCTAATCCAAGACTATGGAGGGAGGCCATTTGAAACTGATTAATGCCACTCTGCAACAACCAAATTTGTGTAATTTAAAAATAAGCCATGGTCCTTCTGCTCTACTGCATGTATGTGACACAGGAACATAGTGGGTATTTAATATAGAATGAAATGTTTGTTAAAATTAAAAATTCTGGCCCAGCTGGTGTGGCTCAGTGGTTGGATGTCGACCTATGAACCAGGAGGTCATGGTTTGATTCCCGGTCAGGGCACATGCTTGGGATGCAGACTCGATCCCTAGTGGGGGGCCTGAAGGAGGTAGCTGATCAATGATTCTTTCTCATCTTTGATGATTCTTTCTCTCTCTACTTTGCCCTTCCTCTCTGAAATCTGTTAAAAAACCTGAACAAAAAAAATTTAAAAATTCTGGCCCTGGCCAGTTTTGGTCAGTGGTTAGACAGCATCAGCCCATAGACCGCAGGCTCGAGGGTTCAATTCCTGGCCAAGGGTATGTACCTCGGTTGTAGGCTCAATCACTGGCCCCAGTTAGGGCATGTGTGGGAGGGAACCAGTCGATGTGTGTCTCTCACATCCATTTTTTTTTCTCTCTCTCTCCCCCTCCTTCCTCCCTTTCACGCTCTAAAAAAACCATTGGAGCCCTAACTGGTTTGGCTCAGTGGATAGAGCATCGACCTGCGGACTAAAGGGTCCCAAGTATCATTCCAGTCAGGGGCATGTGCCCAGGTTGTGGGCTCAATCTCCTGTGAGGGGCGTACAGGAGGCAGCCCATCAATGATTCTCTCTCATCATTGATGTTTCTATCTCTCTTCCTCTCCCTTCCTCTCTGAAATCAATAAAAACAGAATTAAAAAAAAAATCAATGGAAAAAATATCCTCGGGTAAGTATTAAAAAAAGAAAAAGAGCCCTAGCTGGTTTTGCTCAGTGGATAGAGCGTTGGCCTGTGAACTGAAAGGTCTCAGGTTCGATTTCAGTCAAGGGCACCTGCCCAGGTTGTGGGTTTGATCCCCAGTGGGGGACTTGCAGGAGGCAGCCAATCCATGATTATCTCTCATCGTGGATGTTTCTATCTCTCTCCCCCTCTTCCTTCCTCTCTGGAATCAATAAAAATATGTTTAAAAAAATATATATATATATATTCCCGATGAACCCTCCGGCCCACACCAGGGAGTTGCTGTCATTTCTAAAAAAAAAAAGAAAAGAAAAGAAAAAAAAGTTTGTAAATTAAAAATCTGGTGTACCTCAGCAGTAATCAAGCATCAAATTTTCTCTGGCCTGTAACTCTAATCTGGGAGGGATTTTAGGAGAAATAGGATACTGCCTGTCTCAAATTTTTTTTTTTTTTATGAGAAAAAGATACAGAGGACCATATAATAAAATTTTTTATACTCGATGACCTTTCTGCAGCAGCCTCAAATTGCATTATAGAGATTCCACAGCAAGGGTTCTTAAATCTGAGTTTTTTGGTGTCTGTAACTCAGCTGAATTGTACCCAAACTTTATAAACATACTAGAGGCCCGGTGCACAGATTTGTGCACCAGTGGGGTCCCTCGGCCTGGCCGGGGATTAGTGGACCTCCGTGCTGCCACAGCCCGGCCTTACCCGCCAGCTTGTAGGGCTCCAGCCTGCTGTTCGAGTTGATTCAATATAGCACAAAATAGTGTGGGAGACAGCAGGCAGCCCGGGAGGAGCCGGAGCCCGGGTTGGGTGCTGTGCCACTCCCACTCATCCCGGCCCCACTGCGCCTGCTGCCGCCGCCACTTGGGCATGCAGGGGGAGTGTCTGAGGGAGAGGCTCATAGTTGCACTCCCAGCCATCAGCCCAGCGCCTGGCACCCATCTGTCAGCTGAGCAGTGCTCCCGCTGTGGGAGCGTACTGACTACCAGGGGTCAACTCCTACGTTGAGCGTCAGGCCCCTGGTGGTCAGTGCACGTCATAGCTACCGGCCAGTCGCTTAGGCTTTTAGATATGTAGTCTAGAGATCCAGTGCACAAAATTCGTGCACTTGAGGGGGGTGGTCCCTCAGCCTGGCCTGTGCCTTCTTGCAGTCTGGGAGCCCTCGGGGATGTCCGACTGACAGTTTTGGCCACGGCCACTGCGCTCACCAGCCATGAGCCCGGCTTCTGGCTGAGCGGTGCTACCACCACAGGGCAGCTCCTGCATTGAGCGTCTGCCCCCTGGTGGTCCGTGTGCATCACAGCAATCAGTCATTCTGCCGTTTGGCCAATTTGCATATTAGCCTTTTATTATATAGGATACCTTTTTCTCTAGCTTTCTTTAAAGTTTTAAAAATATCTGTATTATGCTGATGTGGCTTAGGGCATATGACCAGGTTGTGGCTTGATTGCCAGTGTGGGGTGTGCAGGAGGCAGCTGATCAATGATGCTCTCTCATCATTGATGTTTTTATCTCTTTCTCTCTCCCTTCCTCTCTGAAATAAAAAATATATATATTTTGAAAAAGTATTTGTAGTAGTCCAGAAAAGAATAAGGACCCCTACTCTTATTTTAGTCCTCAGTAGTGGCAGTTTTTGATTCTGTACTTCTACCAAATGTATTCACATTTCTATTTTATATAGAACATTTAAATGGTTTAACTCATTCTTCTCAATATTCACAGAACATTCTATCCTCCCTTTTAAAATGATTTTAGACATGAATTCAGAAAAAATAGGTTATAATGGAAGGGAGTTTTCAACTCTATAACAATGTCACAACTTGAGATACTCGAGAATGATTTTAATTGGGAGGGTTTTTTCCTGGACCCCAGAGAACTCATAGAAGCACAGAAGCTTTTTTGGAGGGAGGTGATGAAGATAGGCATAGAAGCCTTTGATTATAAACAGAAACAGGGAAACTTCTACACTTTACCAACTCAGAATAATTAAGAAAATGCAACATCAATGCCACACTCTGGTGCCTTATGTAGAGATACCTCAGTTGCTTTGCTCTTGGAGACCTGGGATGATGTGTCATCCTCACTCTCATCTGCTCTGCTTTCCTGGGAATTCTGTGATACAATCTCTTCACCCTAAATGTGGATGGTCCAAGATAAATGGGGTTAAAGTGATCACATGTGGGAGAAATGCTTAGCTTATGGGCAATACAAAGGAAGATATTCTAGCCATTCAAATGTCATCAAACATGGCACCAAAGTAGGACCCAGCATCTAGAGAAGTGATCCTCAACCCAAAGTTTCTGAGATATGTGTGGCTCTGATACAATATGCAGTTTTTACAAAAAGTCCACCTTTGTATTCTAATATCATGCTAGATTTTACAAGGCTAGACTCCCTCAGTTAATGTTGAATTTAGTTCTAAAATTTCCCAAATACCTTAAGGTATATGAGCACCAACACACCAACCATGGGTGGCCATATAGAGGCTGAAGGAGAGTACACTGAAGTGATTTAAGAACAATTACTCTGGAACGGGACTGTATGAACTCAAACCTTGAATCCACTCACCTATTGCTTAATGACT